ATTTCCGTAATCAATAAGCGATTGTGCCAGCTCCTTGGCACTTTCAAAAGTGTCAAGTTTTGAAGCTAACACGCTTGACTGAATTTGGGGCGACAGTCCCTAAATGTATCGCTCTATTTTCTTGCTCTCAGGAGCAATCATATCTAGGCAAAGGATTTCCAGCTCGTAGAATCTGTTGGTACAAGTTGCTATGTCGGTACCAATCATTCCCAGAGTCCAGAGTGCATGCTCGAGTTTTTGAATCTCTCCTTGTGGACAGTACTCTCTCATCAACATGATCTTCAAGCTCTCCCAGCTTATCGAGTTTGCCACTATCAGGGTAAGTACCTTAACGTGGCCATTCCACCAAGTTAAAGCCCTATCAGTAAATGTGTAAGTTGCAAACTTGACTTTGTTGTGCTCGGGATAGGAGCAGATTTCAAAAACTGATTCCGTTCTTTCAATCCACTGCCTTAAAATCATCACACCACCCGTTCCATTAAACATCCAGGGCTTAGCATTCGTAAAGTCTTTATAGGTGCACTCCCGGGGTTGCCCATGACTATCGCCATGGTTGGAGGGATGTATGCCAATTCCTGAATCGGTAGTAACATGGGTATTGATCTATGACATGGCAGCTGCCACAGCTGCAGTGACTGCTGCCTGGAACATGACAACATCAAATTAAGGAGGTGGAGATGGTGGTGGTATCGGTGTTTCGTTGTTAGGGTTACGCCTGGGATTCCCGCGTGGCGGCATCTTTGACTATACGTTTAAAAGATGATGATATGGATAAGAATAAATGAATAATGAATGTGTCTTATGAACTAAATTGATATAGTTCAACAACAAATGATAGTATGAGTCTCACAGATAGAAGAGCGAAGGTTATTCGTAAATCCGAACATATGAACAAGCGTATGGTTTTTCCATAATATTTTAAAGATTGAACGCGATACTCAACGTAGTAGTAATAGTGCGCGAATGATATTAATATGATAGATGATACAACGATCACGAAAATTTATCCCTTAAAAGGGTCTCCGATTACAAGAATTTAAAGGATGTAAAAACTTTTAGCCGATGTCCTATCTTATAACAAAATTTGAGGTTTTCCCAAGTACTACTTGCGACGTGTGTTGCGCCTGGAGCTCGACTCCGCATCCGATTGCTTCGACTCCATAAGACGCCTATCGAAGGCGGCTTGTTGTTCCCTCAACTCTACGAGGGCTGCATTCGTTTGTGCTTGGAATGCTTCGGCACGGAGGTGGATGTCATTCTGCAACATATCCAGGCGGTGGATATCGGCCCTGTGGACTTGTACTTCCACGTTGACCTCTCGGATTCGGTTTACTTGAACCCCCGATTGGTAGGATTGGTTGGCCAGTTTACCTACCATCGTCGGAAGTGCTCGATCGGCTAAACCTCCTTCATTGATGTCGTAAAAGTCTCGACACATACCATAGGGAGAGCGTATCCCTTGTTGTTGGCTCCAGTGGACGAGGTGACTTCCCCACACACGAGTCGGTCCTTGGAAGTTCCTCCTAATGGCTGGAGGGTTGATTATCTCTGGTTCCGAGTCTGTACCAGAGTCGTCCCCTCCATCCAACTCGATAGGCACTTCGCCCTCTTCCGGATCCTCCTCAATCCATCCTCCGTTGCCTTGATTTGGGTAGTAGAGGTCCCCATGCGGGTGAAATCTAGCCATATGACTATACGAGAATAGGGTTATAAGATTTGAACAAAGCTTGAGACATGTAATACTAATTAATCTATTGTATGCACCAAATACTCCTATAGTATTTAAATTGTACGTTTGATACTAGTGTCTAATTTTTGTAAGTTTTGACTTGCTGCTCACTACAATCATTCCTTGATATACGTTAGTCTAATTTCGGATAAACATAGTTGATCAGGCTATATTCGTCCCAAATTTGATTACATATCTCGAGAACTAATCGTAGTGTCCAACTTGTCTTAATACTTTTGTATAGTTCTCATCATGAAAATATGTCGTTGTATGCATGTATTTTGGATTTTCATAACCAAAAAAAAATATATTTATATGAAATAAGGATTTTAGGTACGAAAACTTTTGTCAGAGACTTTGAGTCCCTAAGCATTTATAGTTTGTATATCTTATGAGGTTCGATATACTTAGTTCACTATAAACATTGCTCTGATACCAATCTGTCACACCCCCAAACCGGAACGGCGGAAACGTTCGGGGGCGGATGACTTCATGTGGTAACGTAACAAATGAATACATAGTAAAGAAAGCAATACAACCATCATATATATAT